AAGCTTGGCATCCTTGGCATTCCAGGATGATGCGTTACTTTACACCGGGACAGTGGCTTCAGCTGTACCAAGCACAAATCCGGTCGTGCATGGAGTACTGCTGCCACCTTTGGGATGGCTCCGCTACATATCAATTGGCCACTTTGGATTAAATTGACAAGCGTGTCAAGAGGCTTATAGGTGACTCGGAATTAGTGGAGCCGAAGCTGCAGAGCCTTGAACACCGCCGTAAAGTTGCCTGCTTATCGGTATTTTACATGATATATCACGAAGAGTGTCCGCTGGAATTACACGTTTTCGCCCACCCCTTTCCATCGCTGGGGGCCCAGGCGTAGGCTTGGGCTCCACCTCCACACCTATGTTGTGGATATTCCAAAGATTCGCACGAAGCGTTATGCTTCCACATTTATATGGCGAACGGCTATGAAGTAGAATTCCCTGCCTGCAGACTTGTTCCCTGAACGTTAAACTTGGGTCTTTTCAAGGAGAGAGTGAATAGGCATTACTTAGGTGTGTATGCTCCATCATCGACCTCATCGTCACTTTCGATCAGGTGAAATGGATGTCAAATGCGTACTTACAATTTATATTAAAAAAAAATGACATGAAAGTCGAGTCAGAAAGTTAAAACGTATGCTTAGAAATACGTATAATAAGTCGATGCGATAGTTTTAAGATCCCGAAGGAATGTCCATAAATCAACAGTATGTTTGAAATACACACCTTAATAAATCAAATTACATGTATTAAGTAAGAATTATTTGTCGAAATTTTCCTAAATATTTCGAAAAATTGGTGTTGCAACAAAACTTCGCAAAGTTAAGATAAATATAGTCTACTTACGTATCCCAAATAACATCAATTTTAATGTACTTAAGAGAATCCCGAATCCCGTAAAGGTGCAGGTTTCTAAAAAATATTGTTGTAAGGCAGTCTCCACTTTCTGAATCTGTTCCTCGAAAAAACTCTACATAAACTCTATCAATAACAAACTAGTGGTGTAATTTCACAAAAATAAATGATCAACATTACAATGGTTATGAAAGTTTCGTATATTTTTAAAATTTGTCTATGATAAAAAAAAATTATTTGCAGTTGAAATGATTTTAATTACACGTTATGCACATTCAGTAGTTGATGTTAGGGCGCTCTTAACTAAGAAGAAGATACTTAATAGAAATCTTCTATAATGATATTTGCGTCATATACTACAACAGATTATACTACTGTAGGTTATGGATAATTGATTATTTACACATTAATTATAAACAAGTATTTATCTATATTCTGTTACTTACATTGACTAAGCTAATCAGTGCTTTTCGATAACAAATTAGAAGTATAAGGCAATAGGAAATAAATACCTGGATTATCGTAGCGTAGTTTATAAGACTCGACGTAAGAAGTTGTAAGTAAGGTGCAACGAAAAAGCGCAACAATACTTCATAGACTCATTGTATATAAAATTACAAAAAGGCAACTTCCCTCCGTTTCCACTAGTTCTATTGATTAGTCCTATTATAGAACTTCTAGTTTTTTTTTGTTGCTATTGTTTTATTAAATATATTTAAATAATAATAGAACTAGTGGAAAAATTCATTCCCAGAAACAGCTTTTTTTGCTTTGCATTTTTACAATCTGCTAAAATGTGTTGTCGAAATTTTCAAAACATATCGACCCCTCCTACGTAAAATATCTTATGTCGAAATTGCCAAGTTTACAGGGAAGCGTTTTAAAGTTTTGAATTCACTGAAATGAGCATAACACGTGACTTTAGCATTTCCCAGTTTTATTCGATGATCACATGATAATGATCTATATCATTACAGATTATCTAACCGATATCTAGGATTTTATAATAAATACTCTATGTGACTAACGGGCTTTGCCGAATAAAACTGAGAAATGCTAAAGTCACGTGTTATGCTCATTCGAAACTTCGGGGTCGAATTGTAGAACAATGTTTAGCATTCTCATGAGTCCAATAAGACCATAGAGTATTATGGTACTTTTTTGTTACAGTCTATATATTTTAGTCTGGAATCTAATATCGTAGCCACCGCATGTCATGCAGTAGCGGACAAATGCCATAATGACAAATAATAATTATTTTAATTAGGTTTATTTCTTAAAAATAGTTTACTAGTACGGGTTTGGACCCTGGCTAATTTGCACGCAGACTAATATCAAAAGTAGTGCAAACTACCGCCTCTTGACCGTCACTGCGCTTGTATGAGTGGCCTTCGCTACAGCTACCGAAATCGTAGTTTCAGCGCCTTCCAAAGTTTCTCTATTTATGGTAAAAAGCCGAAAGCGCCGAAATTACGCGACTGATTTTGGGTATCTGTAACGCCTTTTATTAAACTAATTTAATAGATAATACAATTTAAATAAATAAAGTACAGCAACTTTATTCTTAACTGAGCAGAATATACACATTACGGAGATCCCGTTTATTTTTATTATGCTGAATATTGCAATAATTATTCATTTTTACACAATTAAAATTAAGAAAAGAGATTAAGAGAAAGTTTAAAATTAAAAGGAGTTATAAAAATAAAAATTTATAAACAAAATTGTCTAAGATTTGGTCCGACATTAACAATGGAATTATCCTATCATCTGATTTAAAACAACAAGAGCACTCGTAAGGTACAACTGTTAAAATGTACGGACACAGAACAATAAATACAGTAGAAGTGGTTGGTTAGCGTCGCACGCGTGCAAACAGTAGGCCTATTTAGACTTGATCTCGTTTGCCATTTTCGCTTTGTACAGTATGGTTGTGTCAAACATTTCACGCAAATTCTCTAAAATCGTAGAATAATGCCTTATTGGGCTGATTTGGAATGCTCCAAACATATTACCCGCATTTCATATCATCGCTAAGTTTTATTTTAATAAATTTTCAACGTTTTGTTTATCGAACTTATTTTTTGTACTGTAAAACGAAAGTAAACATTATTCCAGAGCAATGCGGTCGAGTTTTATCTTTTTGGTCGAGTTTTATCTTTTGAAGAACTAAGTAAACATCCCTAATTTTCCACTTTAGTAGCAAATAAAAGTTTAGCTAAAAATGCTTCACGACTGTTTCGTTAATTTTAAACTTAATTGATCGAAATATAGTTCATTAGGCAATTTGTGCTTTAAAGAAGACATCTGTTGTCAAGATGCTACTTTCTATTCGTTCAGATGTTAGTCATTCGTCGTAGTCCAGCTACTGGCCGCAAGATGGCAGCACGTTCTATAAAATTTCAATATTAAATCAAAACGTCGTAACTTTCAATGAAGGTCTTGAACCGTCAATGATATGGCGACTGGGTAAAGTTTAAACTATATTAGCAGTCCAAAATATGTTTTACAGTCACATCTTTTTAAATTAGAAACGACCAATCATTATCAAGATTTCATAGTGTTTATTTTCTGTGTACGTTTTGGCGACAGCGGTTTTGATCACAGTACAATAAATGTAGTAGAAGTGGTTGACATTCCACGCGTGCCAACATTAGGTCTCGAAAGACCTGTTTGAAGTCAGGCCGCCATTTTCGCTTAGTATGGTCGTATCATTCTTTCGCGCAAATTCTTTAAAATCGCAGATAAATGCCTTATTGTGCTGTTTTGGAGAGCAAACTACTTAGCACCAGTCAAGTCCTCGCAAATAGGACAAAATCACAGAGCAATAAATATAGTAGAAGTGCTTAGTTTGCGTGACACGTGTGCCAACAGTGCGTGGAGTTTCACATATTTAAATTTAGTCCGCCATTTTCACTTTGTACGTTATGTAGTGTCAATTGCCTCGCGCAAAGCCTCACAAATCGTGGAACAATGCTTTATTTTGATACTTTGGGGTGCGAAAATGACAGTATCACTATAAATATTGTCTATCGTTAAGTCTTATTTTGTTTAAGTAAATGTTTTTTGTCGCAATAATTTTTTGTTATAAGAAACTAAAGTAAGCCTTATGCCGCTACAATATGGTCGTTTATTTTTTAGAGAACTAAGTAAACATTTCGGATTCGTCGAATCCAAAGTTCAGTGATTGACCGTTAGATGGCAGCACTATGATCGAAATTTCAATATAAAATCAAAACGTCGTTAACTTGCAATAACAGTTTTTTTTATTTATAATACCAAGCGACGGCACGAACAAGTCGTGCGCCTGGTGGTAAGCGACATGTCTATACATAACAGTTGCAGTGCCACTCGGAGCTTTTAATCGCAAAGATCTTAGGAGCACTGCCACTATGCCCGTCGACCTGAGACATAAGTTGACAAGTTCCATGCGACTGTCATTTCACCAGCACCGTTACCCTTTAAAACTGGGACGCATTAATGCTCACATTACTGCTTGGTGGCTGAAATAGAGAAGGTGGCAGCACTTTCCTGGATGATCTCTTTCATACGGAGCTCTACTGCTACTAAAAATTATTGGTGTTGAACTTTCAACGATATGCCAACAGGGTAAAGTTTAAATTATATTAACTGTCCAGACTTTGTTAGTTCTTTTTATATTTGAATCTACGACCAATCATTATCAAGATTTTCTAGTGTTTCAAATTACGAAAATGTGAGTTTTAGCGCCAGCGGTTGGTCTCCAATTAACGAGTAATCCCTGTACCATATGAATACCTGAGCAAAGGACCACTGGGGCACTTCCCAGTTCCATTTCCTATATTGATCCTACCAAGAATTAAACCTGGGACAACCTTATCCAGTGTCCACAGTGCAAACGTTGGGACACCGAGGTGTTACTTACGTTATGTGCGTTATTATTTCATTATTTAATCATTTGCTCAAAAAATGTTCGTTTACGAGTTAAGTCACTTTACTATTATGGTTGATGAGATCAGTAAAAGAACCAGACATCGCCCAAAGAATTGTTAAATTGAAATGTTAAAGGCCGGGATACATTGCTCGTAGAATTTGAAGAGTTCTCGAATAACTAGTAGCGGAAGTCGTAGAGTGGGTAGATAAAACTACAATGTGGATGTCTTTTGGCTGAAGTGATTGGTGATACTGAAGCTGTTGAAGAAATGTTGCGATGCAAATCATTTTCCTTACGCCACAGTATTAGATGTATGTAAAAACGCAAGTTCAGTGCTGTACTTGTTTAAGTGGACATCGGTCTTTGTTGGCAGTTATCACTGGAACTCTCTGCTTCGTGAGAAAATAAATGAGTCCCGGCAAAAGGTTAAGCCGCCAAACAATTGATTATAAAAACCTACAATAAGTTATATTTTTGAATGTTCCAATCAAAAATATAACGCACGTTTACCTCACGTGGATATGTTATAAATAGCCGCCAACCGTTCTAAAAAAGCGTTCTCCATCGGTTCCCCGTTAATACTCTCGCCCCTTTCCCTGTCGAGGTTTCTCAAATCGTTTAACGTGACCGTGTGGACGTTCGCATTCTTCTCGACGTGAGTAAACACCTGCATCTTGCCGTCGGTGTTGTCCGCTCTAGCGTAGGCGGGTTTGTCGCCGTCCCCGTTCAAACCGTTCCTCAGAATCGGCTTCAGCACGGCCAGCTCCCGCTCCTGCTGGCCGTCCTTGAAATGTCCCACTCGGTCGCCGTACTCCTTGGCCTTGAAGGCCTCCTTGTAGTCGTCGCCGTACAGCTCCTTGAACTTGTCGCAATCCTGCCGCGCGTCGAACGGCTCGGCGCCGACCTTGAAGTGGCCGTCGCCGCCCTTGCCCGCCACGGTGACGTTGGGCGCGCCGGCCTTCCTGGCCTGGCTGCGCCGGGGCTTCTTCTTGTCGGCCTTGTCGGCCTTGTCGGCCTGGTCGGCCTGGGCGGCCTGGTCGGCCTGGGCGGCCTTGGCGGGCTCGGCCGTCGGGGCGCCGTTGGCGTCGTCCTTGGGCCTGCGCGCCTTCTTGTGCTCGTCGAAGCGGTTGCGCACCTTCTCGTGCGTGAGCATGTGCCGGCGCAGGTCGGCGCCCACGCGGAAGCACTTCCCGCACGTGGCGCACTTGTACGGCCGGTCGTCTGCAACAGGGAGTTCACTGGAGGTGGATAGGGTGGACGGGGGCAATGGCTTCTGTTGGATACTGTGCAAAGGCGGGATTACAGCAATTGCAGGCAAAGCACTCGTAGTCCTGTCGACAGAACTAGTGGGAATAATGCTGCCGTCCGATAACTAAAATGCGGGCAGGTTACAAAATATTTTTTTGAGATTTAGCAACCCAGTTTCAGAATATTTGTTTAATGATATTTTAGCTATGCATATAAGTCGAACACGTTAACTAGTTCCAACTGTTTTCAAAAGATAATTTTGTGCTCTATCTTTTGTTCTTTAAAACGGATAATTGACCATTTGTCACTTAGCCACGCTTTAGTTGATGAACGGCAGAATGGCGGCAGCCGCAGCAATGAAAACATACTACCAGCGGGTGCTTTGAAATTGCGAACGCATAAGACAGCGCGACCGTTTCCATATTCAAGTATATACTGCAGTACATAGTGCTATTGTGCCGTGGTTCCCAGATACGATTCGATTAGCAAACTACTAGAATAATAATTATACTGCGCTAGTCGCATTTGTTAGTTTACCTGTATGAATCCGCATATGGATGAGGCGGTACGAGGAGGCACGAAAGGTCTTGGGACAGTACTCGCATTTGTAGTTCAGCTCGCCGGTGTGGATACGTCGGTGAATGTTCAGGGAGTACTTTCTTGCGAACTCTTTGCCACAGAATTCGCACTTGAAGTTTTTCTGCGAACATATTTATTGTACTATTAAAATGTGTTCTGATTTTTGCAAAAGTAAAAACAATAAAACTACAAACAGTTGCTCAATTTTAAACATTGCGTACTAGGTATAAATAAGTAATGATTTCATCAAACGATAAAAAGTAATGAGACGTGCAGTTTTTTATAAAATAGATAGAGACGAAACTGCCCTGCCATCGAATTTGTATTTTTTAATTCAAGAGAGACTTGTGTTGATCAACAATCTCTATAAACCCAGTATTGTTTCCGCGTGGTCGGAAGTCAGCCGATTAACCACCACTCGTGCAACATGCGTTAACTTGGAACAGAGATCCTAAAGCAATCCCGTGGATTATATACATGATACATATGCTCACGGCCTTGTCTCACAGGAGAGGTAGGCAGAGACCACGGAACGCCACCTTACTTTATCCTGACACAAATTTCGAGCCTCAAATGCATCAACTACCCTTTTCATAGAACTTATTTTATTCTTGTCACTTCAGATCCTAGCCTTTTTGAGGACATCACTGATCTGGTCAAAGTGTAAGTCATTCTGAGAAGTCGCCTTAAAACCCTTCCATCCAATTATAAATCTGTTTGATAAATCTATTTAAGACTGATGCCCACCGCCGGCTAACAATTGGTGTCAGAAGTGGGATGCTAAACAGGTTCTATACTGAGCCATTAACATCCAAGCGAATCTGCAACGGTGTCATCGTGGTCAACAGTCAGCCTCGTCCCATAGGACCAAGCCCGCATTATACAAGCTTTCCAAATTCTGCATGCCGTAGAGGACGGTTAGCCTTTATTTATAGCCTTTCGGTAAGCGTGAGAAAGAGAATGGATTTGAACGAGATTCTTCAAGGTATCAGAAGCATGACTTGAACCCACCTGGCGGGAGTGCAAAGACGCCTTGTGATACTTGAGGTCGCTCCACTGACGGAACTGGCGGCCGCACTCCTCGCATTTGTACGGCCGGTCGCCGTTGTGCACGCGTTTATGGACCTGTCCGGAGAAACCACAAAATCATTGGTATTTTAGAATATGTGAAAAATACCCAATTAATCTGGTAACCGAGTCTTTAAAAAAAAAGCGACGAATCGCCTACCGGTACAATGTTGTCAAAAGATTATTTTGAGCAATGAAAACTTCAATGCCTTCATGATACTCGTCAGCCTATCGCAATCCACAGCTGGATATCGCCATATGTGCCCCATTTCGCCCGGTCCGCTTGCCGCGTCCAGTACCTTATTCATAATAAAACTTGACACATTCTGAATCATCAACATCAACCCATTATACGTCCTACTGCTGGACATGGGTCTCTTCCAAGGCTAGGTTTTAAGTCTTAGTTCACGATGTCGGTCCAATGCGGGTTGGGTACAAAAATATATTGAGGTTTCAATATGTTTTCCTTGACCACGAGAGGCGTTGCTACTAAACATTGTAAGCATTCACAAATGTGTAATAAAAAAATCATAGGTACATGTCTTGACTGGGATTAGAACCATCAATTGAGAAGTACTGTTATCCTGTTGCACGTAGGCGATATTCACATTTAACACAAAGTAATACACAGCTGAATCTGTTCAGCTGCACTGACCTTGAGAGCCCCCTGCGTGTAGAATTCCTTCCCGCATTCACGGCACACATGCTGCTTGCTGTTGTGCGACAGCAGGTGGTACAACAGGCTGTTGCGGTGGAAGAACACGCGCACGCACATCGGACACTGGAACTTCTTCACCTGTGCAGGTACGCTTATCACGTCAACATTGCCATTGGTGACGAACAATTTGCATGCAAATGTGTGCATGCAACCGGTGTTGCTTTCATTGTCATAATCACATAGACATATCATTTCCTACATGACTATGACTAAATGGAAATAAATGGTACAGAAAAAGGTCTTAAAGTAATTGAATGATCCAACATAAGCCCTGTAAGGGCACTGCAACTTAACTTACTTTAATAAATACATTATCTGTTGTCATTATCTATTATTATTGTCTAGGTATTATCATTACCTAGTTATCGATTTGCTTTGCTTTAAAATAGAAGAGAAATAAACAGAAGTAAAGCAAAAAACAATGAGAAGAACATTTTAAATTATAGACAAACAATTTCAACTAGAAATACTGCGTTTTTTGCTAATGGACGCTAAAATATTCTTGTAGGATTGGTGTAGGTGTTCTTTTATGGCGAGTTTACACAGAGTCGATTGCCGCCGTCGGCAGACTAAGACTTTAGTAGCAGTAGAGCACCGTGGGAAACAGTTTATACAGGGAAGTAGAATATGAGCATTACTGCGTTCCGGTTTTGAAGGAAGGAATAAGGGTGCTGGTGAAATTACAGACACATGGGACGTATCAACTTATGTCTCAGGGTGACGGGCGTAGCAGTGCCCCTCAGATCTTTGCGATTTAAAGCTCTGAGTGACACTACAACTGTTATGGACAGGCGTGTCGCTTACCAGCAAGCGCACGACTTGTTCGTCCCATCACTTGGTATTATAAAAAAAGACTGCTTTGCCGAAGGAGGCGTTTTCTACTCACTGTTTACACCGAGTCGACTGTCACCTTCCCAGGAACTACCAAGTTACTACAATTACAAATTTACGCACAAAGTCATAACAAATCGTTCGAAACGGCCAACAAAATGATCGGGTAGGCAAGTATTTCCCAGGCTTCCAGCACGCGCGTTGTGGTGAGACGCAGCCACCGACGACACACTGAAACTTATTGTCTCGACTGTCGCTTGAAGAATGTCCCTATCTATCGATCCGAGAGATAGGGTTTTTCCGGAGAGACTATGGGCTCGACGGCAAGAACAGGGTACAGCGGGCGTCCGGGCCAAGCCCTCCGCCAGTGATACTCTGGTGGATCAAAACTTGGGTATAGACTCGCTGGGGTTTGTAGTTAGCTGCAGAGACGGACTTCGTTTGTCTGCCCCGGTTGCTTGTATCCGGGGCGTCTGTCTCGTGAGCAGCTAGCGCGCCTTAGTAGCGGTCTAGTTGAGGGCCAGAAGCGAGGAGACGCGCGGGGCACGTGAGTTGCCCTTTAAGCTAGAAGCTATATCCGTTCATTGTCGCAGGACACTGCGACTGGCATCTTCGGCACTAGCCTGGAGAGCTAGTAGAGGATAAGCTAGATATCCTCCGGTCCCTCCAGCCGCTTAGGTTATTGGGAACTGGAGTGACGTCGTTTTTCGGCGTCGGGAAGTGAGCGTGCCTTGCAGCTCCGCCACTGATGAGGAGATTTGGTAGTGGCACAGACATATATCTAGATAGACGCCGCAAGTATAGCAATTTGTATGAAAACCAAGCGTGCCACATTTTTTGTACCCACTATGACGTCACAAGAGCTATTTAGTGATGGAAACCTCCTTCCGCTCGCTCTAAATCGATTGATTGAACGGAATGCGCGTAAACACGCGTATTCCATTCAATTAATCGATTCTAAATATAATAATTTTTGTTTAAGTATTTGTTACAAGTAGTCGTAATAATAATATAGTAGAAAAATACTACAATAAGATAGCTAAGTCCTTTATTTTACTTGTTTTTAAAAAATGATGATTACTTAAAAAAATTAAGATTTTTAATCGACTTCAAATATTAAAATTATTTTCCTTCCAATAAAATGAGCTTATTATATAACTTATATATTTGTAATAGAAGATCTTATCGATTAACTTAAATAATGAATACGCACGTCAATATATGAACTTGCGACTGCCTTAATTAATTTTACTAGATGGTTTTCTATCTAGATATATGTCTGTGGGTAGTGGACTCAGAGTCGACGGCTTAACGGTGGCAACTGCTAGTTGTGCAACGCGCAACTACAGCCTACAGCTCCGGCACCTATCAGGAAAATAGGGAGGGTACTGTACGCGCACCCGGGGCGGTTCACCCAAGGCACTAGCCTCTCGAAGAAACCGGATGAATTGACAGAGGTATGTGAGAACCTTGTACACTGGCTGATCTGGGGTCAGAACCTGAACTTGTAAGGTTCCTGTGCGCGCACAGGTTAGTCCCCTTCCTGTGTAACCAAGAGGTTGATAAGGACACTATAAACAAAACTTGAAGAAGGCGAATGGATCGTAGCGTAGATCGTGGTAGCTTTCGCTATGCTGCCTCGAAATGTTGGAATAACCTACCACCGCCTATTAGAAATGCCTCGCCAATTTTTACTTTTAAAAGATTACTCAAAGCATACTTGCTTAACGTTCAGCAGCCTCAAAGTGGCTGTTGATGTGTCGGGGTCTAATGTTAATTTTTAAGCGTTTAGTTAACTTTTATTAAATTATTCACCATCCGTACTTTATTTTTAAATACCTAGTGACGTGATAAGATATTTACACAAATTTTCACAATTATATTTAATTTACGATGTTGTTTACAATTGAAATATTTTACTCATGTTTTGTGAAATTAATTATCTATACAATAATATACATTTTAATTCATGCAAAATATGCAAAATGATAACGTCATTAATTGTACCTTATTGGAATAAACTGCTCATGTTTTGTATTTAAACTTATAATATGTGCTTGTTTCGTTCAATGTTTTTATTGTGAATCTGTGACGGCTACTATGTTCCGTGTCACGTGTGTTCTGTTACGGGATCCGCTGAAAATCAGCGTCGTAGCACTTTAAGTGAGACGGCAACATGCTGAGTGGGTCACGGTTTCCGTGGCAGCACAGCACACACGCCTTGTATTCATTTCATTTCATTTCATTTCATTTATTTATTGCTTTTCACAGGTATGGTACAATTTAATAAACTTAAAACCATGACAGCATACATGTGATACCCTGTAAGGGCGTTGCAAATTAAAGTTAAGTGATAGTTACAATATAATTTAGGAACAATCCAAACTTAAAACGTAGGTAATTAATTGATATGGGTATTATTATTATATTTAAATTAAATTAAATTATATTTAAATTAAATTAATTATTATTTATACATGTTCAGCACTATATATAAGTCATACATTTAAGCCCCAAAACAATCCCAATCATGTAGAAGCATCACCTATGAGACATACAGTCAGTTAAAAGATGAGTTCTTTATCTTGGCCAACTTTCAAATACTTTTATCATCGAAAAACTCAGACATATTATAATAGGTTTTTAGGATGAGAAAATCCTTTAATTGTTTTTTCAAAAACCTTATTTTTATCTAAATTTTTAATATAATTAGGGATATGATTATATATTTTAATTAACATAGAATGTGGAGCGCATGAAAATAGTTTTAAGCTAGAGAAAGGAACTTTTAGCTTATTTAGATAGCGATTATTACGCCTTATTAAATTTAGTGGAGAATATAAGTCTGCATGTTTTTTAACAAATTTACAGGCTTCAAAGATATATATACCTGTTAGGGTGAGAATTTTAAGTTTAGTAAAGTGCGGTTTACAGGAGGCCGTTTGATCGATGTTGGTCAATATTCTAATACATTTTTTTTGAAGAACAAAAATTTCATGGCAGTTACTGCAGTTACCCCACAGTACGATCCCATAGGCGAGTCGCGAGTGGGCAAACGCATAATAGGCTGAGAGGGCCGTTTTTAGATTAGTAACACGCTTTAATTGTCTAAGAGCATATATGAACGAAGACAGACGGCTCGATATTTTTTGTATATAGGGTTTCCAATTTATATGTGTGTCTATCTCGATACCTAACATAGTAGTCGAGTCTACAATTTCTAATTTAGTTGATTTATATTGATAATCGATCTCCAGGGCAAGTTTTTGGCGGGGCTTAAATTGGATTAATTTTGTTTTTTTTAGATTTAGTTGTAGGTTGTTGTGATCAAGCCAATCTGTGATTGAGTTCAATACCGCATCTAAGTCCTTCTTTAGTGAATTAGTACATGTGCAAGATAAAACAATAGAAACATCATCCGCGAATAGTATGCTATCAAAAGGAATTGACTGAGGAAGATCATTTACGTACAC